CCGGCCTCAATCAGCTAGGACCCCCTGTACCTCTTCTATGCAGCTGGGACCTGACCCCCTTGCACATGCCTTCCTAGACCCCTACCCTGCCCCTTAGACTCCACTGCTCCCTCCCCTTCCTCTTTAGCTTAGCTTCTCAGTACCTCCTAGATGCTCCCTTCCCTGCCTAGGGGGGCACCTGCAGCTAAACAAGTTTCCTGCTACCTACCCTGTCACGTGGGAGCTCCTTGCCACCTCCCTCAGCAGCAGCCCTGCCAAAACCTCCCAGACACCCCCTGACAAAGCTAGGACCCCTGGACAACCCAGCCTTTCTGAGGCCTCTAAACCCCTGCCCTATCTACTTCCTCCTCTTCCCCCCCACCCCGGTGTCTTGTTACCCCAGGGGTCTGGGGAATCCATCTAATGTACTGCCTGCAGTGCCCTAACTCCCTGTGCCCCGCCCACACCCACAGTGTCTCCTCTCCTGCAGGGGGTGCTGCCCTTCACATGGTGGATACTGAATTTTAGCTGCTGGGTCAGGTACTTGTCCTCATCCCCCTTGTACCTGGCATGTCCCCACCACTCCCATGGCTCTACCTACTCTGGCATGGCTCTGCCCTTTCCCCAGGCAGTTGTGATGGCCCTCTATGACCCCAACCCCTCCAGGGTAGCACAAGGGGAGGAGCCTGAGGGTGCCCTGCCACTTTTGTGTAACCCCTTGCTCTCCCTGCAGTGAATGGGCAGACTCGCCGGCCCAGCCTGCTGCTGTGACCTTGCCCCCTGGACACTGAGGGAGTGGAGCTGGAATAAAGCCCTCCCCCAGCCTGGCTTTCTCCCCAGCCTGAAGCCTGATCCTTCACACAGGACACTGCATGTACATGAGGCAGGGAAGGGGGTGCAGGGGCTGGATAAATAGAGACTCCCCCCACATCTGGAAGTGGACAGGGGCAAATCCAGGTGTCGGGTGAAGAGAGGGGCCAGCTGCTGCCCCCCCAACCTGAGGGGGGACCTGGGTGTGGGGGAGGGGCCAGCTGACCCACTCCCAGACATGAAGCCCAGTTGTCTGGGTGAGGGATGAGGCCGTCAGGGGGCTGCTTCCACCCCCAACCCTCATGGGGGAAACCCAGGTCCCAGGGCTGTCTTGCTCCTCCAGCTACCTCCTCATCCACAACACCCCCCCCCCCCCCCCCAACAAATAGATCCAGGGCTGCTAAGGGATCCCCCGTCTTACGCGGGGTGGGGGGACGTTACTCAGGCTACATAGCTCAGGATCGAGCCCCTCCCCCCCCACTTCTAGGCCCTGCCTCCTACTCCAGTACACCCTTTCTGAGGTGGGGGGTCAGCTGCTGCAGGGGATGGAGGCCCAGCCCTACCATATATCTATCTATCTATCTGTATGTATGTAGGTATGGACATGTGTGCGTGTGTATATATGTACATAGGCGCCTTTTTATATGCTGCATGAACCACTAGCAGGTCCAGAAGTATTTGCCCCATGCCAGAGCCATAAGCGCAGGTGTTCTTGAGAAGAAGCCCCCTCCTCCCATAACAGGCTGTCACCTCTGAGACACCACAGTGGCCTGGCCAATGCAAAAACTGCAGGCCTGGCCCAGAGGTGCCCAGCTCTGGGTGCAGTGGTGCCCAGGGTACGTGCAACCAGCTCTTGGGTGGATCAGCAGAGTGCTGGGGGTGGGCAGAGCAGGGGCTGCCTTGTGCCAAGATGATTCCAGCCCCGGTGGGGGAGGGGGGGGGCAGATAAGTATAACACCAATAAAGGCTGCTCTGAGCTGTACCCTGAAGGGGAAGAGCCTCCATTCACCCTTTGTGCTGGGGCCCTGTGTGGGTTAGAGAAGGGGGAAGACAGGAAGGGGGCGGGGCACAGTTCTGCCTGGCACAGGAAAAGTTAATTCTTCATTTACATATCCTGCTGGGAGGTTCTAGTCTATGGCTCAGCAGAGCCACCCCCCTCCTCCCACGGCACCTGGGTTCCCCCCAGCCCCACTTCCCCATGCCAGGTGTGTCTGGGTGGGAACATGCCGTATCTAATGTATGGACATGAATAAAAGTCTCCACAGAAGCCAGGCAGTGGTGTGGTCATTGGGGTCAGTGCTGTAAACCCACGCTCCTCCCCGCCACAACGCAAACCCTCGCAGCTGCACTCCCTCCCCCCCATTCCTGCCACACACAGCATAGCTGGCTCTAGCTTTGCCCTACCACACTCAAGATGGCAGCCCACCAGGGGGGCCAGCCAGCATGCCATGATCCACGTCCTACTCAAAATGGTCTCCAGCAGGACCTGCTTTGTTACACAAGATGCCGGCTCCTGGTACATGTCCAGCCCTTAAACACTTTACCCCCATACTGTCTTTGTGGTTCTGGAAACAACCCTGACTGTGCAGCTTTGGGGCTGACCAGGGTCCCTGCCTCCAGCAATCTGGTTGTAGGCAGGAAAGGACAAAGCTCTGCCCCACAAATCTCAAACCTGCCACTGCCCCCAGCTCAGCCAGGTTCTCAAGGCAGTCCCCTCAGGCCTTCCCGTGACCACCCCACTCAAGGCAGGGATTCCTTCTACCTTCTTACCCAGAATTACTGCAGGCACAAGCCAAGATGATGTAACTGCCACACCCATCATGGCAGCGTGGAAGACAGCGGCTGTTTCGGGGCATCACCCAAGGTGGAGCTTCCCTTAAGGTCCTTAAGCTTCCCTTAAGGACACGGCTTACCATAACCAAGCTGGTGCGTCCTTGTGGGAATCATAGGTTGCCACAACCAAGATGGCGCCCGCATGCTGAAGGGCAGGGGAGGACCACACCGAATATGGCGTTCCAAGATTGCAGTTGGTTGTAGCCCTGAAACAACATCAGGGGTGGACAAAATGCAGCCCGGGGGCTGGATGCGACCCGCCAGGCCATTCTATCTGGCCTGCGGGGCCCCTAAAAATTTTAGAAAATTAATATTCATCTACTCTGGGGTGCCTGTCATGCAGCCCTCGATTGCTTGCCAAAACTCAGTAAGCAGCCCTCTGACCAAAATAATTGCCTGCCCCTGACCAACATGGCCACTTCCTTTCTCCCTCCTTCCCTTCCCTTCCCTTCCCTTCCCCGCCCCTGAAATCCAACACAGTAGCAGTGCAATGCCACACCCAGCACGCCGGCGCCCTCTGTCAAATATTACTTTTATTTCCGCCATGCCCCAGCGGAGACGGAAGTACACCCATTATGGATCGGAAGTGTCGCAAGGTGCTTCCTGTTCCCGGCTGGGGAGAGCGGAGGGGGCGCATTAGTAATTATCAACTTCCTTGACCTCAGCTTGACCCCGTGCTGCCCCTGCAAACCCGGTGGCCGAGGGCTGAGCCGTGGTGGATCTGTGATACCTGCCTGTTCCTTAGCTGTTCCACCCCATAGCTGGCTACATATGAGCTCTCACTAGACACCCTTGTACTCGGCCGCCCCCGGCTCTGCCACCCCAGTCGGTGGCTGCATCTTGCCCTGCCCCATCCGGTGCTGTACCGGCCTCTTCTTACTCTTCCCGCTCCGGAGCTGGTACCTTGCGGTCCTTTCCAAACAGTCTTATACTCTGCAGCTCTATCATTCCTCCCCAGAGCTGGCTGCATTCCGGTCTTGCTCATGTACCATTATACGCCGCAGTTCCCCAGCTGCCCGCCCGCAGAGCTGGCTGCGCCTTGGCCGATTGGGAGAGGGGCTTGGCCGGGTTAGGACAAGGTCTCGGTCTGCTCACACCCAAGTTATCCGTGACTAGAAGACAGAGGCCGAGGTGAGGCCCCTGCCACACACGGGGACTCCCAAAAGTCTGGGGGGCAGATCTGAGGACCCTCCTTGGTGACTCACAAGTGCAGGCCTGCTGGGAGGGGACGGGGCCAAGTTCCAGGGGAACGGGCGAGTGCCAGGCCCCACCCTTCATGTCTCCCTCAGCCCTATCGGTACAGTCCGGGAGAGGGAGGGAATAATCGCTTCTTGCCCGGATGTGACGTATAGGAGTTGTACCTGATGGGAGGTTCCCCCCAAAGCGGAAGTACTCTCCTCTTAATTTCTGGTAGCGGCCCGAAACCGGGCAGCGGTGTCCTCCCTGTGCCGGAAGGGCTGCTCTGAGGGGAAAGGGGGCGTGGCTTGGTAGTGACCTTTGATCCCGGGCGATCCCGGAGGAGTGATGGCGCCGGCGGAGAAAGTGCAGCGTTACGAGGCTTTCGTGAGCGACGTCCTGCAGCGAGATCTGCAGTGAGCGCCGGCCCCTTCCCCCGGTGCCCCTCACTCACTCCCGACCCGCAGCCCTCATCCCCCCCCCTCCCCCATGCCTCTCGCTCACTCCTGACCCGCAGCCCCCTCCCAGTGCCCCTCACTCACTCCTGACTCACAGCCCCCATCCTCCCCCATGCCCCTCACTCACTCTTGACTCACAGCCCCCATCCTCCCCCATGCCCCTCACTCACTCTTGACTCACAGCCCCCATCCTCCCCCATGCCCCTCACTCACTCTTGACTCACAGCCCCCATCCTCCCCCATGCCCCTCACTCACTCTTGACTCACAGCCCCCATCCTCCCCCATGCCCCTCACTCACTCTTGACTCACAGCCCCTCTCGCTCACTCCTGACCCGCAGCCCCCTCCCAGTGCCCCTCACTCACTCCTGACTCGCAGCCCCCATCCTCCCCCATGCCCCTCACTCACTCCTGACCTACAGCCCCCCTCACTGCCTTGTCTCCCCAGGCACGTCCTGAGGCACCGTGATGCCGTGTTCGAGCAGTTGGCACAGCTGCTGCAGCTCCGCAATGTCCTCGAGCGGCTCCAGGTTGAGGGGAGAAGCCAGGCATCTGGGGCTCATGGGGTGGGGCTTGAGGCAGAACCCATGTGTCTGGGTGCCATGGGGTGGGGGTAGATGGAGAACCCAGGCCTCCGGGAGCTGGGAGGAGGGGAGGGAGAGAAGTTGGGCATCCGGGAGCTGGGGTGGGGGGCTCTGGAAGAGCCCAGGAGTCTGGGGGGCAGGGGGGTGTGGAAAAACCCAGGCATCTGGGAGCTGGACCTCAGCCATCTTTGGGGGAGGGGACTGCAGGGTCCCCAAGAGGTCCTGGCCCCGCTGATCCCTCCTCCCTGCAGGATTTATCAGGCCCTCTCCAGACGCAGGTCGACCTGGGCTGCAACTTCTACGTCAGCGCTGAGGTGTGAGTGTCTTCCCTTCCCCTGTTCCCTCAGCACCCTCTGAACTCTGACCCCTGCCCTTTGCTTCCCCCTAGGCCAGACCCATCGCGGGTGTGTGTGGCGCTGGGCTATGGGTTCTTCGCGGAGCTGACGCTGCCTGAGGCTCTGCATTTCATCCACCGCCGCAGCCTCCTGCTCAGCCAGTGAGTGCCTTCCTGGCTGCCCCAGAGCTGGACACCCATACACCAGGGGGCCCCTGTAGGCTACATTCTTCTCAGCTGGTGCCCAGCTACTCTGTCCCAGAGCAGAGTGCATTGTGGCACCAGCAAGCCCCCTTTGTGCTGGGTTATGCTTGGCCAGTTCTCAGCCCTCCTACCCCAGAGCTGGGTGCAGCAAAGCACTAGCAAGTCCCCCCACCCTCCAGCTGGGTTCTGCCCAGCTTGTGCCTAGCTGCTCCACTCCAGAACTGGGCACATCACAGCACTAGGGAGCCTCCTCTATGCTCTATTATACTTGGCCAGTGACCAGCTGTTCCACCCCAGTGCTGGGCGCATCATGGCACGGGTAAGCCCCCTTTGTGCTGTGTTTATACTGGGCTGGTGCCTAACCACTCTGCCCCAGAGCTAACTGGAGCTTAGCATCAGTAAGCCTCCGCCCTGCAGAGTTGTACTCAGTGTGTTCCATCCCAGAGCTGGCTGTATCCTGGCCCCAGGGAGCCATTTCTGTGAGCTGTTATGCTCGGTCAGTCTCCAGCACTCTCCCAAAGACCTGGCTGCATCATGTTACCAGTGAGCCACCTCTGTGCTGTTACACACAGCTGTTCCACCGTGGATTTGGCTGCATCATGCCACTGACGAGCCTGCCTCCCCCCACCATGTTTGCAGAGTTATACAACGCAGTGTGTTCCACCCCAGAGTTGGTCACAGTGCCACCCTGAGGAGCTTTTTCTCTGGGCTGTTATACTTGGCTGGTCCCCATCTGTTGTATCCCAGATCTGGGCGCATCTCGGCATAGACATGCCCCCTGCCTGCAAGGTTATATTCTGGCAGTTCCACCTTGGAGCTGGCTGCATCCTGATGCCAGCAAACCCACTTGCCCACTCATGGTGTGTTTATACTCAGCTGGTGCCCAGCTGCAGCATCTTAGAGCTGGCTGTGTTCTAGCACTAAGACCCTCTTTGGAGGGTTCTACTCATCCATATGTTCTGCTCCAGGGCTGGCTGTAGTGGGGCACTGACAAGCCCCCTCATGCTGTATTATATTTGGCCAGTACCCAGTCTTTCTATTCCAGAGTTGGTTGCAACATGGCACCAGCAACTGCCCTCTGCAGGGTTATGCTTGGCCAGTATGTTCTGTCCCAGAGCTGGCTGCAGCACCACCCTGGGGAGTCTGGTCCTTGGGCTGTTATACTTAGCTGGTCCCTAGTGCTCTCCTACATCGTTGGCTGCATTGAGGCACCAAAAGTCAACTCTCCCCTGTAGTCTTACACTCAGTCCATCTTCATCCATTCCACCCCAGAACTGACTGCATGATGGCCCTGTTAAGCCCTATCCCTAGGTGGTTATAGTTGGCTAGTGCCTAGCTTCCACACCCCAGAGCTGGCTTCAGTGTGGCACCAGCAAGCCTCCCCCACCACCCCTGTAGAGTTATACTTGGCCAGGATGTGCCACCCCAGAGCTGGTTGCATCTTGGACCCAGGGAGCCCTGTTCCTGGGCTGTTCCATCCTAGAGCTGGTTCCATGATGGCAGTGACAAACCCACTCCCTCAGGGTTATACACAACCAGTCCGTGTCTTTTCCACCCCAGAACTAGCTGCATTGTGGCATCAGGGACACCACGCCCCACCTTGTCCCCTATAGTGTTATACTTAGTCCACCCTCATCTGGTTCCCCACCCCACAGCTGGCTGCATCTAGGCCTGTGAGGTGTTATACTTGGCTGTTTTCCAGTCATTCCACCCCAAAGCCAGCTAGCTGCATTATGGGAGCAATAAGGCAACACCCCCTCCCCCTGCACTGTTACATTCAACTAGTTCCTATCTGTTACACCTCAAGAGCTGGCCATGCAGTGTTACACTCAGCTGTTCTCAGCCACTGCTGCCTCAGAGCTGGCTGCATCTCGGGGCCTTTATGATCACTGGCCCCTTTGAGGTGTTGTATTTGGCCATTCCCACCTCGGAGCTGGGTGTGTTGCGGTGCTAGCTGCCCCCCTCCTGGGGTATTAGACTTGAGTTGTCCAAGCCACCCCCACCAAGAGCTAGCTGTACCCCTTCCCCTGGGCTGTTATACTCATCCGTCCTCAGCCGCTACCCTCCAGAGCTATGCACATCCCTGATCCCGTGACAGGCACTCTCTCTCTCCCCACCAGGCTCAGTGAGACCCTGACCAAGGACAGCGCAAAGATCAAAGCCAACATCCGCCTAGTGCTGGAAGTGAGGGCAATCAGATGCCTGGGTTCTCTGGGAGGGGATTGGAGCCTGGGGGGTGAGGCCAGAGGGGGTGCAGCTGGTAACGGGAGACCATTTGAAGGGAGGTTGGCACCCAGACACCTGGTTCCCTGCCTGATGTCTTCTCTCCTGCCCAGGGTCTGCGGGAGCTTCAGGGGCTCAAGGACCTGCCTGAGGAGCTGTGGGGCGATGTCCTGCTCTAGCCCCCCCCTCCCCCCATGGATGGGGTGCCAGATGCCTGGGTTCTCTTGGAGACGGGTGGGGGGGCTGGGAGTGAGGTGGGGAGGGGGCTGGGAGCCCAGATGTCTGGGTTCTCTCCGTGCTCTGGATGGGATGGGGGTTGCAACCCGGACGCCTGGGTTCTTTGTCCGGGCTAGAAGCTGGTCTCATCCCCGCCCAACTGTGAATAAAGTAATTACTGTCAGCCCCTGTGTCAGTCCCTGTGGGGCTGGGAGCCCGGACTCCTGGGTTCTCTCCAGACGTGAAGGTGGGGGATGTCCTGGGAGCCCGGCTCCCTGGGTTCCCCGGGAGGCGAGTGTGTTAAGTTGGGGGGGGGGGGGGGGGGCGGGGTTTGCGGGGGGGGCC